GGCTGTTACTGCTGGCTGCACGCAAACCAACGTACGAGTTACAGCCCGGCTGGTCAGAAACCGACTTTAGGTGCTTGTCCAGTGCCAGCTTGAAGACTGCCAGGGGTCTGTTGGTAATCCCCCTTATGTATGCTGGGAGGCAGTTGAACAGTCTCGGGCCCCTGACACTTATTGTATGGTCTCTTAACGTGCTAGTGACACCCCTGCTTTTCATTGGGGGGATGTTGCATCGTCTGCCGAGTCTTTTGCTTTCGTAGTGAGTGATTTTCGTGTGCAAGTTCGGTACTAGTCCCTCTAGGATTTTCCAGGTGTATTTAATCATGTATCTCTCCCGCCTGCGTTCCAGGGAATACAGGTTCAGAAACCTCAAGCGCTCCCAGTAATTGAGGTGTTTTATCTCCGTTATGTGCGCCGTGAACGTTCTCTGTACATTTTCTAGGTCAGCAATTTCACCTGCCTTGAAACGTGCTGTTAGAGTGCAGCAATATTCCAGCCTAGATAGAAAAAGTGACCTGAAGAGTGTCATCATGGGCTTGGCATCCCTAGTTTTGAAGGTTCTCATTATCCATCCTCTCATTTTTCTAGCAGATGCGATTGATACAATGTTATGGTCCTTGAAGGTGAGATCCTCCGACATGATCACTCCCAGGTCTTTGACGTTGGTGTTTCGCTCTATTTTGTGGCCAGAATTTGTTTTGTACTCTGATGAAGATTTAATTTCCTCGTGTTTACCATATCTGAGTAATTGAATATTCTCATCGTTGAACTTCATATTGTTTTCTGCAGCCCACTGAAAGATTTGGTTGATGTCCGCCTGGAGCCTTGCAGTGTCTGCAATGGAAGACACTGTCATGCAGATTCGGGTGTCATCTGCAAAGGAAGGCACGGTGCTGTGGCTTACATCCTTGTCTATGTCAGATATGAGGATGAGGAACAAGATGGGAGCGAGTACTGTGCCTTGTGGAACAGAGCTTTTCACCGTAGCTGCCTCGGACTTTACTATGTTGACTACTACTCTCTGTGTTCTGTTAGTGAGGAAATTATAGATCCATCGACCGACTTTTCCTGTTATTCCTTTAGCACGCATTTTGTGCGCTATTACACCATGGTCACACTTGTCGAAGGCTTTTGCAAAGTCTGTATATATTACATCTGCATTCTTTTTGTCTTCTAGTGCATCTAGGACCTTGTCGTAGTGATCCAATAGTTGAGACAGACAGGAGCGACCTGTTCTAAACCCATGTTGCCCTGGGTTGTGTAGTTGATGGGTTTCTAGATGGGTGGTGATCTTGCTTCTTAGGACCCTCTCAAAGATTTTTATGATATGGGATGTTAGTGCTATCGGTCTGTAGTTCTTTGCTGTTGCTTTACTGCCCCCTTTGTAGAGTGGGGCTATGTCTGTTGTTTTTAGTAACTGTGGGATGACCCCCGTGTCCATGCTCCCTCTCCATAGGATGGTAAAAACTCGTGATAGGGGCTTCTTGCAGTTCTTGATGAACACGGAGTTCCATGAGTCTGGCCCTGGGGCAGAGTGCATGGGCATGTCATTTATCGCCTGTTCGAAGTCATTTGGCGTCAGGATAACATCAGATAGGCTTGTGTTAACCAAATTCTGTGGCTCTCTCATAAAAAATTCATTTTGATCTTCGACTCTCAGTCTGGTTAGCGGCTTGCTAAAAACTGAGTCATATTGGGACTTGAGTAGCTCATTTCCTTGCTGTCATCTGTGTAGGATCCATGTTGTTTAAGTAGGGGCCCAATACTGGACGTTGTTCTCGACTTTGATTTGGCATAGGAGAAGAAATACTTTGGGTTTCTTTCGATTTCATTTATGGCTTTTAGTTCTTCCCGCGATTCCTGACTCCTATAAGATTCCTTTAGCTTAAGTTCGATGCTTGCTATTTCTCTGACCAGTGTCTCCCTTTGAGGCCCAGTCCCTGGACCAATTATGTACCTCTGTAATCTTTTGACTACCGCCCACAGGATGGGTATGGGGTGCATAATAAACATATTAAACTAACTAACTGTCTCCCTACGCATTTCAGATATATTGACCTCTTTTAGCCGCTCTGTTATTCTTTTCCATCGCCTGTAAAGGGAGCGTCTGTCTCTTTCTATTTTACATCTACTCCTCCTTTTTCTTAGAGGAATAAGTCTTGTGCATACATCGAGTGCCACCGAGTTAATCTGTTCTAGGCATAAGTTGGGGTCTGTGTTGCTTAGTATATCTTCCCAGCATATATCGGTTAGGACTTGGTTTACTTGGTCCTACTTTATGTTTTTGTTATTGAAGTTGAATTTGGTGAATGCTCCCTCGTGACTAATCTCATTATGTCGGTCTGGGGCTCCGTGCATACATGTCTGAACCTCAATTATGTTGTGATCTGAGTATATTGTTTTTGATATGGTGACATTTCGTATCAGATCATCATTGTTAGTGAAGATGAGGTCTAGTGTATTCTCCAGTCTAGTAGGCTCTATTATTTGCTGGTTTAAATTGAATTTTGTGCAGAGATTTAAAAGCTCGTGTGAGTGTGAGTTTTCATCAGAGCTGCCTCCTGGTGTTATTACTGCAACAATATTATTTGCTATATTCCTCCATTTTAGGTGCCTTAAGTTGAAATCCCCCAGGAGCAAGATGTTGGGTGCAGGAGCTGGCAGATTTTCCAGACATTTTCCAGATATCTTTATTTGAAGCCACTGGAAAAGTTCTTGAGAAAGTCATTTCCAATAGATTGAACTACTATATGGAGTTTAATCACTTTTTTACTGAAAAACAATTTGGCTTTAGAACACAGAGGTACCAATCATGCAATAAATGTTATTTTCGATACTGTAGCAAGTCTAAAACATCAGGGCAATCTTGCCTTAATTGCCACCAGAGATATTCATAAAGCTTTTGATAGCTTATGGCATGATGGCCTTATATACAAACTCATTGACCTACCAGACCATAACTGGACTTTTCTCAGATTAATATATAATTTCTTAACTCAAAGAAAAATCATTCCCACCTTTCATGGCAGGTCGACAGAGCCTTTTATACCGTCAGCTGGTGTCCCACAAGGTTCTTGTCTAAGTCCAATTCTGTTCAACATTTATGTGAATGACCTTCCTCAACCAGAGTTTAATGATACAATTGTGACACAGTTTGCAGATGATGTTATTCATGTCGTCTCATCAACTCCGGTAACAGGAAAATACAAGTATGAGAGAGTCATAGAAAAAATTAATATTGAACTTCGTAGAACATCTAATTGGGAAAAGAAATGGAGAATTACGACTAATCCTGACAAGGTCCTTGTTAGCACGATAGGATGTTTTGCATCAACAATTGAAGATAAAGGGGATATCTCCATCAGAGGTACACCTGTAGCCATTAGAAACCCTAACAAGATTTTGGGATATGAAATAGACAGGCTGCTCCACTCAACATCTCATGTAACTAAAAAGATCAACATAGCCAAAGCCGGTCTTCGCAGTCTCTTTCTATTCAATCAAGCCCCTCAACATGTCAAAAAACATCTGTATAAAATGATAATAAGACCAATACTCGAATACCCTTGTGTCCCAATGTCATTAACAACAAAGACCAACATGCTACGGCTACAAAGGGTCCAGAATAGAGCTCTTCGCTTCATTACCGATACCAGGAGGAGAGACAGAGTTAAAATGGCAGATTTACACACACAACAAGTTATTACTGCCATAAATGTACGCCTTGACACTCTAAAAAAGAAACAACTCTATTCAATGCAAGAACTATACATGCCAGATAGAGAACATCCTATACAAGTGGTAAATACCACGGATTATATAATCAATACTCCTCCTCACAGAACTCAAAGAATGACTCTCCCACAGAGGGTCCGTCGTTTTATACATAAAGATGATTACCATCGACCCATGATATTGAGCAACCTCCCTGATGAAGAAGATTGGGTAGCACCAGAACCCTTCTATGTATACTGAGAACATCATCGCCCCCAATTAGGGAGACATCTTATATGACAATCTAATGTAAAAATTATGTATTTACCATGGCTGGACACCACCTGTAAGAAGCCATTGTCACGTAATTCCATAAACTGGCCAGAAAATTATTACCTTCATTGTCGCATAATGAATCGCAAAAAAAAAAAAAAAAAAAAAAAAAAAAAAAAAAGCAATTGCAACTTGTATAATTACTACCAATTCAGAGTCATGTACTTATATATCTGTTATATCTATGTGACTCTGATGGGTTAGTCTTATACCCCTTAAAGAATATCTTATCATTTCACATACACTTTTTAAATTACACCAAAGTGGTTGGGCCACTTACCTTTTATATCCTACCTCTCTCCCCCCTCCCTCCCTTTTCCAATATTTCCGTCCTTATCCATCCTTCTTCCTTACCCATCTTACCAAAGCTCTGGTCATAAGAAGAAGAAGAAGGTCAATTTTTAACAGCTGTTCCTGGAATTGCTGGGATGTTGCATCCGGAGGCTTGTAGACTACCACAATGACTAGGTTTTGGTTCTCGATCTTTACTGCTAAAACTTGCACTACATCATTTGAGGCATTTAGCAGTTCTGTGCAAACAAGTGACTCTGCAATGTACATGCCAACCCCCCTCCCCCTTTTTTTTTTGCCTGTTCACTCTGTCGCATCTGTATAGGTTGTAACCTGGGATCCATATTTCGTTGTCCAAGTGATCCTTTATGTGGGTCTCAGTGAAACCCACGAACATTGCCTTTGCCTCTGCAAGCAGTCCACGGATGAAAGGTATTTTGTTGTTTGTCGCTGGCTTTAGACCCTGTATATTTGCAAAGAAGAATGTCATCGGACTGGTGGTATCGTTGGTACTGGGGGATGGATTTTTTTTTCCGGCATTAGTATCTGTATCTGTTGGTTTGGAGTGGAGGCCATCGACTGTGGTTCCACTCCAGGAATGACTGGACTTGGTGTACGATTTCTGCCATTTCCTGCCAGTTTTTTTCCTTCCTGGCACTAAAAACCTCTCCCTCTTGAGTGGCTGTGGCTACCCAGGTTTTCCCATGGCCTGGATGTTTTGTATCTTTTTGTCCCCTTTAGATGGTGTGCCTGGCAATTTAAGTTATAGCACAGTCTTTCCTGTACTGAAGAGGTACACATTTCAGGGTGAAAAAGCTTACAGGAAGGGAGTTTGCATTTTCCTGTTGTCATATGGGCACGGCATTTTCTAGGGTGGTCATAGTTGCACGTCCCGTCTGTTTTTCCAGATTTCCCATGCCTGCAGATACCAAGTGCATAGTATGTGCACAGGCTTGGTTTCCGTTTTCCTTGGGTTTCTGTGACTGTATTCCCTGTTGGTGCATGTTTGCCTTGGGTTTCTGTGACTGTATTCCCTGTTGGTGAATGTTTACCTGTCTTATTCCTATCCTCCCTAGCACCAACAATGGAGCTCCCACCAGTTGTTTTTGGTAATATATCCTCACTATTGCTAGTGGAGTCCTCTTGTTTCCAATTTCCTGTGGTATTTCTAGTTAGCAATATTGGTTTTATCTTATCTTTGACTACACTTGTTTCCCCACTACGGCTCCTGTCTCCCATGAGGTCATTTATATGCATTCCTTCCTGCGTATAATTCCCGACTACCTGGACAAAATCTCCAGCTTCACCATTACTGTCTCCTAGGACAGCACCTCCAGCTTCACCATTACTGTCTACCAGGACAGCACTATCAGCCCCACATTTACTGACTACCAGGACATCACCTCCAGCCTTACAGTTTCTGACTACATGGCCAGTATCAAGGGCAGTACCATTCAGCCCAGACTTTTTATGTTCCCATCTGTTGTAGAATGCTTCCAGGTTGTCTATGAAAGCAGCTTTGATGTTATCCTCTTTTAATACCAGTGTGATTTTAGTCCACAGATTTATCTCATTTGGGCATACCCAAAAACACTTCCCTATTTTAATACTGCTTGTAGCTAGTTCTTGGATATCTGCACAAGGGGCGTGACACCAATTTCCACAAAAATGACAATTTATCCATGTGGAAGCCCGTTTGTTTGATTGATTGCAGACTACACAGAGCTTCATAATGATTTGAATGGTTGATTTACTGTAATTATACTAGCAGCCTCTTGAAAACTCTATTAATAACCTCCTTAAAGTGAAGCTCTAGCTATTTGTATTTCTATTTCTAACTGTACTTGTATATTAGGACAGCTTACCAGTGTACGTTCCTGTTTTGTATTTATTGTTTGTGTTTGATAAGGGCGCCTACAACCCCATCCATTTACAGTCTGCTTTATTGTCCAACGAATCCATTTGAAACCGGTCAAGGGTTCGGACCAGTCGAGGGTTCGACTAGTCAAGGGTTTGGAACCAGTCTGATCTGATCAGTGGGTCACTTATTTAAAACATACTGGTCGGTGATTTGGGCTAACACATGAAGGATCTACTGGAAATTATCTACCCGAGTAATATGTGATCTGATTGATACAAAAGTATAACTTGCGTGTTGAAGAACTGGTGACTGCTGGAAGCTCCTACAATGACAAACGGTCGAGCCTCAACCCTTGTTTATCGATCACTGTATCTAGCTTTTCTAGGTTTTTTCCGTCTCCACCACAATAAATGCTATATTATCACTATAGTTAACTGGTGGAAATTTTGGAGGAAAGACGCTTTTTCTGTAGTAATATTTGCTTCTCGTTGTGTATATTGCGACCGCTGGTAACTACAGGTTATATGAAATTCACAGTATACGTCTGGTATTTCAGGAAAAAAGAAACTAATGAAAGTCACTCCACTCCACTAAGTACCATTATAATACTGGTTAGTTGCTACTACAACACTGTATTCTCCAGTCTTGTTGGCTCCACTATTTGCTGACTTAGGGTGTGTTTGTTGCAGAAATTCAGCAGCTCCTGCGTGTGTGACCTTTCATCTGAGCTACCTCCAGGGATTATTTCTGCTATGACATTATTTGCTATATTCTTTCATTTTGTGTGTCTTAGATTGAAGTCACCATGCAGCAAGATGTTTGGGGATGGGGCTGGAAAGTTGTCCAGACAGGAGTCGATTTTTGACAGTTGTTCTTTGAACTGTTGGGAAGTTGCATCCGGTGGCTTATATACAAGTACAATGACTAAGTTTTGGTTCTCGATTTTTATTGTCAGAACTTCAACTACATCATTTGTGGTGTTCAGTATCTCTGTGCAAATGAGCGACTCTTTGACGAACAGGCCAACCCCCCCTTGTTGCCTGTTCTTTCTGTCGCATCTGAAAAGGTTGTATCCAGGTATCCATATTTCACTGTCAAAGTAATCTTTTGCGTGGGTCTCTGTGAAGGCTGCAAACAGTGAATTTGACTCCTCTAGAAGTCCACTAATGAAAGGTATTTTGTTTTTGGTGGATGGCTTAAGGCCCTGTATATTAGCAAATATAGATGAGGTTGTGTTGCATGTTTGTTGGGGGGATTTTGTTGTTGGCATCAGCAGCTGTGAGCCCGGAGGCGCCACTGTGAGTCCGGAGGTGCCACTGTGAGTCCGGAGGCGCCACTGTGAGTCCAGAGGCGCCACTGTGAGTCCGGAGGCGCCACTGTGAGCCGGAGGCGCCACTGGCTGTGCCTCCAGTCCAACAAGGCTCCAAGGTGGTGGACTATTTTGGTTATCTCTTTCCATTTTCTTTCTTCGTTTCCTACCCCTAAAAAATCACTTGGGGTGTTGTCATAGCGACCATAATTTCTATGATGTGTTGTATGGGGTGTGTGCCTCCTGGTCCCTTTTAGATGATATGCAGTGCAATTGGTATTGTAACATTGTTTTTCAAGGACTGAAGACTGACACATCTCAGGGTGGAAGTATTTGCAAGAGGTAGAACGACACACTCCCCTAGACAGGAGGTCACGGCAATTTTTGGGATGCTCAAAGTTGCATGTCCCATTCGTTTTCCCTGATATTCCGTGTTTACAGATGCCCCAAATATAGTATTTGCACCATTTTGGTTTTGGCTGGGTACAATTAGTGCTGGATGTATTCTTAATCTGTGCTGGCCCTAGGGCTGAACTACAGTCCTCCATAGCCAATCCAGAGACACCACCATCTGCTGTCATGGCACCAACATTTTTCCTGGGAGGGGATTCCCCGACTACATCTGTACTAGAGGCTATGACTGTGATGGCTGCAGAAGAGTCTACCCCAGAGGAGGGCTCCTCTACTACATCTGTACTAGGGGCTATGGCATTGGTGGCTGTGGAGGAGTCTTTAACTGAATCCGGATTTTCACAATGGCTGGGGGCTGGGTCTGGGTCAGCCCTAAGGCTGGGGGACTGAACTAGCTGTTGTTTTTGTTTCCCGTGTTTTTTCTAGTGTGTATCTGCTTATTTTTGGGTCAGTTGTTGTAGACTGGGCATTCTCTGTGTTAAACTTTCCTCCTCTCCTATCTTCCCATGCTCTATCTATTCCAGGTAGACTATTCAATAGTTCCTCCTTTTTTTCGTGTTCTTATTATCCATCCTATCAGTTTCCTAGCAGATGTGATAGTGGCATTGTTGTGATCCTTTTAAGATTTTCTTGAACCGCGAGAGTATAACCGGTTTAACAATTTTGAAACTATAAAGTTTGCTTCCATCACCTTCACTTCTAAAACTTTCCACCTTTTTATTGCCCTTGGACTGACACTATTTTTACTACTCATAGACCGTCGAAATATTCCTTAACATTCCAGATGTGACGCATCTGGGCTTTCAGTTTCAATATCACGTTGTCCCCGTCACTCTCATGATTAATTTCTACCTCATACCCACATAATGAGTATGAGGTACAAGTCTGCAAAGACGGCGATGATGTGAGAACCCATTCCCGTAGCTCGGTTAGTAGCGCACTCTCAAAGATGACCATCTCTTTACTAGCTAGACCCATTACTCTAAGAGAGAATGAGAAATAAAGTCCCTGGCCTCTCAGACATAACAGTAAAGCAAATAAAGTCTTTGGTAAATACCTATAATGCCATCCTGGCCTCTGAACACTTCGCGTGGCACTTAAAACAACGAAGATGATATTCATTGCAAAACTCAATAAAGATAAACATAAGACAGAGAACTACAGACCTATCTCCTTACTTGAAGCCGCTGGCAATGTCTTTGAAAAAATCATCTCTAATAGGCCGAACTATTACATGGATTTCCATCACCACTTCACTGAAAAGCAGTTTGGTTTTAGGACCCAGAGAGAAACCCAACACTCCACCATTAGCATCTTCGATGACGTGGACAGCCTGTGGAAATATGGTAACCTTACCCTGATTGCGACCCGGAATGTACACAAAGCAACTGACAGCCAATGGCACTACTGCCTCATATTTAAGCTTGCTGACCTTCCAGATCACAAATGAACCTTTCTTAGACTTACATATAACTTCTTAACTTGTAGAAGCATCAGCCCAACCTTCAAGTGCAAGTCAGCAAAATCATTCACACCAAAAGCTGGAGTGCCACAGGGATCATGCTTCAGCCCTGTTCTCTTTAACATACAGTGGACCCTTGAATTTCGTCCCCCTTGAATATCGTGAATTTTGGAAATCGGCGACTTTTTTCGTCAAAATATTGGCGGTCGTATGAAATGCCTCCTGGTAATGGACATTGCTCCTGCTCATCCTCCAGACTTGGAAGAGCAAATGGTGAAGGAGTTTAATTTCATCACAGTGAAGTTCTTGCCCCCTAATACCGCTCCTGTCCCCTAGCCCATGGACCAGCAGGTCATTTAAAATTTCAAAAAACTCTACACCAAAGCAATGTTTCAAAGGTGCTTTAATATAACCTCGGATTCTAAATTGACCCTAAGTGAGTTCTGGAAAGATCACTTCAATATCCTCCATTGCATAAACCTTATAGGTAAGGCTTGGCAGGGGGTAACTTCCAGGACAGTGAACTCTGCTTGGGGAAAACTGTGGCCAGAATGTGTACAAGAGAGGGATTTTGAAGGGTTTGGGGCTGACCCTGAGGAGCCTATGCCAGTTGTGGAATCTATTGTGGCATTGGGGAATTCCATGGGGTAGAATGCGAGTTTGGAGGATGTGGAAGAGTTGATCGAGGACCACAATGAAGAGCTAACCACTACAGAGCTGCAAGACCTTCATCTGCAACACCAACAGACCACAGCTCAGGAAATTGCTTCAGAGGAGGAGGAAGAGAGAGGGAAGAAATTGCTTTCTTCAGAGATTAAGGAGATGTGTGCAATGTGGACTAGGATGGAAAGATTTGTGGAGAAACATCACCCTGACAAAGCTGTTGCAGGCCGTGAATGCGACATGTTCAATGACAATGTCTTGTCTCATTTTAGGCAAATTTTAAAGAAACACCAGAAACGGACCTTTCTGGAACAATTTTTTGAGCGACGGAGTCCAGTGACTCTCAAGCTGGTCCTAACGGCATTAAAAAACAAAGAAGGGAAGTAACCCCGGAAAAAGGACTTGGTACCTGAAGTCTTTATGGAAGTGGATTCCCCTTCCAAACAATAGTAACTCTTCCATCCTCTCCCCTCCTCCTGTCTTCCACACATCAACAACTCTTCAATAAAGGTGAGTGTCAAGTTATTATTGTTTTATTCTTCATGTCTGATTGTTTTCTGTGTAGATAAATGTACATTTAATGTTAAAAAAAATATTTTTTTAATACTTTTGGGTGTCTGGGACGGATTAATTTGATTTACATTATTTCTTATGGAGAAAATGGTTTTGAAAATCGTGAATTTTGAATTTCGGCAGACTCTCCGGAACAGATTAATCACGAAATTCAAGGGCCCACTGTATATGTAAATGACCTTTCCTATCCTGAACACAACGACACAATCATTATCCAATTTACTGACGATATTATCTATGTAGTATCATCCATCCCTGCATCTGGAAAAAAAAAAAAACAGGCGTTAAAGGGTAATAGATAAAATGAATGCGGAATTGTGAAGAACAGCCAAGTGGAAGAAGAAATGGAGAATCACTACCAATCCGGACAAGGTCCTCATCAACACCATCAGATGTTATGCCACAACAATTGAAAACAACGGGGTATCTCCATCAGAGGTACACTTATCACCATCAAAACCCCGAATAAGATCCTGGGCTACGGGATAGACAGATTACTCCACTC